TAATGAAAACTAGAAAAGTGGAATAATAGGTATAAATGTGATTTCGTTTTTCACCTTTGTAAGTGGCAATCCCCACTATTGAAAGGGGGCACAAAACTTTACAGTCAATGTAGCTCAAAGCATTTAATTATTTTTGATATATAGTTTTACTGACGTGGAGAGCTTTGATATTCGATGTTTCTATGTCTATTAATAGGGATATTTTACGGAGTATTTAGTCACGCTGTGCATGTTCCCCTTTCATCAAGATGGAAGCCCTAATTTAAATGAGGGGACGGTACGGACTTTCACTGAATATATGAATAATAAACACATACTAATGGATTAAACAAGTCTCTCCGTAGAGAAAATAGATTTATTTTGTTTCACTCATTACATTCCAAATTTGTATAAAAAGATTATTTTTTATTACATCTTATGGTTTTAGAGATTGTCAATATTAAAGAGGGAAAGTTATATAATTATCTATCTACGATAACAGCGCTGAAAAATTCATAGTGCACAGTAGTATTTAAAGGTTAATTTTGATTTTTTATCTAAAATTAAACCTTTTGTTTAATTAGTACTCAACGGAAACAATTCATAATATACAAGGTGTTATCTCCGATTGGCACACAACAATATCATTTTATCTAACCTAACATGAGAACATATATAGGGTGTAACAAAAAAAGACGCTAAATTTGAAAACCAAATTAGTGATTATAAGTGGGTTAAAATTAAATGAAAATGAAATTGAAAAATGAAATTTACTAAAAAGTCATTAAAAGAACAACATTGCTAAATTCTTAAATGGATCTTAATCACTTTCGCTCCCAGAAAAGAAGAAAATTGCTGGACGAACATTGATGGAACATATAATTATTTTCATTAGCAGAACATAATTCTTTACAGTTTACAGCTCATCAGTAACTGTTAATTAGAGGGTCGGAAGATATCAGCAACATTCTCATTACATCGTTATTGGAAGCAGTCTGACAAATTTTGTGACTGTTGAATTCTCTGAGCCTTCTGCAATCTTTATTGGGTTCTTCATGGGCTTCCCCCGATAACTACCCAATTAGCACAATACAGCTTATAATCATCCCTGCACTATGGACTAAAAGTTTTTTGCGGTGATGTAAGAACCAGGAGTACATTACATTACTTAAAATTTTCTAAATAATTTGATATCCACGTGCCAATGCCTGAAAAAGAACACCATCTGGTTATTACTTAATTATTAATTTGATATCCAAATGCCAATACTGGAAGAAGAACACATATATTCTGGAACAGGAAGATTGCGGATATTCTCTCCGGATTGGCATTCCACCTTCAATTTCGCGGGAACGAGTACAGCTACAAGTTTCGGGGATGTATCTATGATATCGTGAATACTTTCGAGAAGGATGCATCGCGAATATAGTCGGCAAAGCAGTGGATTTACTTATCCCACTTCTGATGTTGTAGAATTTATTCCGGGCCAGAACAAATAGAAGAATTAGCGCTAACTTTTTATTAATTTACAAAAGTAAAATATTATATCGCGACAAACTGGTTATTACATTTTTATTCAAACAAGTTATGTCTCCTTTGGGTCTATTTAAAAAATGTCTGCAGTCTTTTGGGGTTTGGCACATCTACAATTGAAACCAATACTACTTTCATTTTTTGTTGAATTTTCTGTTGTTTTACTTTTCAGATGTTAAATTCATGTACATGCGAAATAGGCAAAAAATATTACTTTTTTTATTACATTTTGTGATTAGTTTTGGTTAGTTTGTGGTTTTATCATTATCACAACAATATCATTTTATCTAACCTGACATGAGAACATATATAGGATGTAACAAAAAGTTTCGGGGATATATCTATGATATCGTCAATAGTATCAACGCACTGGATATTCCACTTCTGATGAATTTATTTCGGGTCAAAACAAATAGAAGAGTGATAGCTAACTTTTTATATTTATTATTAAGTAAAATATTAATATTACATTTTTATTCAAACCTCTTATATCTCTTTTGTCTATTTAAAAAATATCCGCACTTTTTTGGGATTTTTAAAAAAGATCTGCCATGACGACCGTTTTGACATCTGACTTTGGCACAGTTACAATTACTACATACTACTGTCATTTTTCGTTGGATTTCATGCTATCTTTGTTTTACTTCAGGCTCTCAAGTTTTATCCTTTAATCGCATGAAAATTGTTTTGAGGTTGAGGGTTATATAATTATAGAGACCTTTTACATAAAGATATTTTTATACAGAATTCAATTAAAGGCATCAAAACATTCTTTATCCCAAAAAATCGCAAAAAAGTAATTAGGTTAAATTTATAGTCAGAAGGAATTTGTAAATTAAAAAGTACTGCTTTTATTTTCGTACTTTGGGATACTCTGTTATATTTTTTCTCTTAAACAAATTAAAACTAGTTCATTTTCAAGTAATGTGATATATTTATTTTAATATATACATTGGGCTCAATTAAAAAAAAAAAAAAACAAATACAAGGCATACGCTGTTCCCCATTATATTTCGTATCAAACCTTATCTTTTATATAGTTGCCCTTGTCAACCTAGTTTCGTGTAATTACCTTCTGTGCGGCGATGAGAAGGGACGAACCGGCGCTGCCAGTGCAATCATAAAATAGCAGCAGGCACTTAGTTAGCTCGCCTTATTAAAACTTTTAATTCGAAAGCTGTTACGGTTTGTTATTTTAAGTTTTAATAAATAATTATGTTTTTGCGGAACAATAAAAGGTCCTAATACCTACCTATTCGTCAAACTTTTTCGCCCACAACTAACGTTAAAACGTAATGAATTACGTGTCGGTGAAAACATTTGGACTTTTTGCACCGTATTTTGGTCACGCCTACACCGTAATCGAGCTTCAGACTTGAAAAAGGGATGTTATTTGCATCCGAAAGCCACTTTTGCGCCATCATCGAAAGGGGCTTTTTTTACTCTGCGTTGCCTTGTTCAGATTTAATTGGAAATGTTCATTATTGACGTGTTGTTTTGTCGGTTTTTCGAGTTGGCTTGAAAACGTGGCGTAACCAATTGTAATTATATTTAGTTATTTATAAGGATCGATTACAAAACAATAACATTATTTTTTTAGGGGTAGTGCGCACCTCTTGAAATGCTTACCTTAATGCAAATAATGGGTGATTCAATAAGGGTTTCCACATTAAAATAATAAAAAAAACTTGGAAGAACATAAAAATATACAAACATTTTTATATGCCATTTTAGATTAGTGTTGTTTACAACATTTTTTGTTTACAAAAAAAAAGTTTATTCCTTTTTCGGCTTTAATTATGCAAGCATGTAACTACAGAGATCTTTAGAATCTATTAATATTCGTTTGAAACGAATGGAAATCCTCATTTGACTGTATTTATTTAATTATTTTCAAATTATCTAAATAGCCAACTTTTTTTGAATTTTTTATAATAATTTTATCAACATATTTAATAGAAAAATATATTCTAAGTCTGTTTGATATTTTTAAAAGTCATGAGTCCACCGCCCATTCCGATATTTCACAGTTTTTAAAGTATTGTTTAAATCTGTTGGAAAAATTGACATGCAAGATTATTTTATATTATTATTATTATTGGTAAATATCTCATATCTATAAGTGGCATTGTCCAAGAACAACCTTGACAACTACGAACAAGAAAGCGCGGGTATGCAAAGATACTAGCGTGATCCAAAGAATACTTAAACCATTTTCATTGTTTGGCATTGCATAATTCTTTTTTTTTATCAAGTGCAAGTAGTACCACCGGGCATTGCGTTAATTTATGGGTTTTCCTTATTGTTATCCCTTCATCAACCCTGAAAATGGTGTGCCAAAGGCGTCCTGGTAGGATGCTCATGAAAGAGAAATTATTTTATTTAAAAAAAAAAGTTGTCCGCTTAGATATACCCCAACTTTTTTAAATAAACATTATATAAATACATTATAAAAATTCGTAATATTCTGCGTCACCTGAGAAATTGACGATATAATTAACGGCGCCGACGCGACGGTCAGATCGATTAAGTAGTCAAGATCTCACATTTTTTCCTCTTCATGACTTGTATCACACAATACAACGTGTATAGGGTGGGCCGTTTATCTTGGGACACCACCTACCTCAGAAACTATAGGGGATAGAGTCAAAAGTTAAATACAATAGTTAATTGAGATATTACAAGGCATTATTTATTGTTATTTATTTCAATTTTGTATATACAGGGTTTTAATTTGAAGTGGGCGAGTATCAACTTTCTTATTTTAAATGGGACATCTGGCATATTACTTGATTTTCAATTCAAATTCAATATTTTTGGTCTACCAGTAGAATAATTTCTTGTTTTTACTAAGATAAAGTTCAAGTCTTCTCCATGCATCGTGAATGACAGCTTAAGTGATTCATAACTACTAGTGGATCAGCCGGGAGATATTTTATCATTTCAGCAAAAAAAAAAGATCTCCCGTATCAGAGCTTAGCAAAACTCTCTTCGCTTGTAATATGGAGAATTGCCAGTCTCTTCCCTTGTGCTGGGAGGCATCTTAATATCCGTATTTTCTTGTCACGTTTTTGTTACTATGTAACTTTTATTTTATTTTAATTTTATTGCCCAAACTTTACCTAGGCCTATGATATCGAAATTAGGTGGTGGTAAATATGTGGCTGAGTTCATTGTTGCCAACTCGTACCCTCTCTCTCTCTCTCTCTCTAACACATCATTAAATAATAGTCTATGCTTTCTCTATCAACCCAACAACAAAATAACAGAAACTAACCAAATATTTGCTCATTTCAACATAATCAAACTGCAGCAGGCCATAAGCAACTTTGAGCCACCGTCAAACGACTGCTTTCTCCAAAATTGAGCGGAACTGGACGGAACTTCCCATTTTGTTACTCTACACTTTGCTAAAACAGCTTAAATAAATACAAAAATTTCATTAAAAAAATGCTTAACCACCTCAACGGCCTGTTCCCTGATTCCAGATTAGAATGATTGAGAGCCAAAGCCAGGAGCCGCGCGCAGGAGGATGAGACCGGCGGCCGCCCCGCCGCCCGTCCGCTGCCGCCACCGCTCCTGGCGTAAACACGACTAGCGTTCCTCCCAATCAGCCGCCCACGGCGACTCCAATGGGCGATCGCGACGGCAGTGCCGGAGGCAGCGAAGGTACTGCCACATCGACGGCGATACGATGGGACGAACCGGTGCTGCCATCGCAACCGTCGCCCCCAGGCGGGGGTGGCGGCGCGCAACCGATGCCGCCGCCCCCGTTACCGCTCCAACTGCAAAGGCCGTATTCGAGGAGTATGTCGTCTTTACCTCCGGAGCCGTTCATGATCATGAGATCAAAGGTTGGTATTTGCTGTGTTAGGTTTTGATAAACGAGACAACATTTGGAAGTTAATTATTATGGTATTAAAACAAAAGCCACCGACAACAAAAGTGTATACTCATCCTCTAAGCAACGAGTAGTCAATTGCAATCAAGACTTATCTAATGGGGAGAATATTAATCGCAACTTCTACCAACGTAAGTCGTACCAGTGTAAATACTGGCGTCTTGCCATTGAGAAGAGAAACTAGAGAAAATGGTTTAATTAAAATCAAAGTTTTTTTGGTAGGTCTCCGCCTTGGTTAATCCCACATAACCCTTTGAACATTGCACTGAACAACGTTTGATACTTTTGATTTGAAGCGCAATTCTAATACAATCTTCCAAAGAAAATAGTTAATCAGAGGAGTTATTAGCTAGTTTGAGGAAGAAATGCCCCTGCAAAATAATCTTCCCTGCTTTATTTTGGAGTCGTTTGATTTTAAAGTTCATCTGTAAACAGTCAATATTAGCGATTTTCTTTTCAAACTACTTTGACTCTCTCAACTCAAACGTACAAAACTAAAACAATACATTATGTTGTTTAATCTCTCTTATGAGACCTAATGATTCAAAAATAGGCAATACCAGGCAGTATCAATTACTTCTTCTGTTATTTCAACTGTGCGTGGTGATGGTGAACAATTAGTAAACTCTAGATCCATCGCAAGGCCAGGCACCAAAAATTGATGGTCATAGTAACAAATAACAAAAAGCTCTTCAAGGACATAAAAGCAAACGAAGTCCTATTGCAGTTTATGGACAGAACGACACCTAAGTACGGTTTGATGAACGTCACAGTACTCAAATCTCAACGAGAAAAGTCTGGAAAAATCGCCCACCAACAAGGAGTAGCAGCTGGAATATATGAACCCAAGACGTAATATTTTCTATTGTAATGGGCAAGTAGCAACAGTTTTCCAAGCACTGTGCAAGAGAAAAAGTTTCGTAGTAAAACAATTGCGTGCTACGCCGACAGTCAAGTATCAATAAAAGATATGCAATCCAACAAAATAACATCCAAGTAAATTTTGGATTGATATAAGACATTGGACGAGATAGCAACTGATAATAAAATGAAGCTAGCGTGGGTATAATACGACCAAAAATATAGTGCATTTATTGCTTTGAGGTTTTAAGTATTTTACAGTACCTTAACCGCTGACTTTTGCAGGACCGTGGTAAAACCCATCTTGCCTGAGATGGACCGTAACGAATATGTGTAGACACTTGAAATTTTTATTTTTTTTCGAATTTTGGAATAAGTAGAAGCGTTTATTTTAACATCGGGTGAGAGTTAAGAGTTTAATCTAAATTGCAATGTGTTCGTATATATTGCGGAGATATTTGACTGTGATCCTTCCAGTAAGTACATGTTTATGTACCTGATTCCCGAGCTTTGACGCTGCGAAGCTGTTTTCACTGGATAGTTCAAAGGGTATGGCAAGTACTTGTACTCGAATTATCTTACAGGTAAGTTTAAAAATAATCGTTTTTGTCTTGTGTGCCTGTCGATTAACAACATTCTTCTTCTTGTATTTTTGTGTCTTCTACGTAGTTCTTCGATTTGTAAACAACAACAGCCTTTGTTAAGACTATAGATTATATTCCCGGTACGTCATAAGAATACAGACGAAGCAGATGTTCCCTTGTTAGAAGAAAACATGGAGAACAACGCAGAATTTGAAGAAGAAGTGGAGATGGTAGTCGAACCTAATGACAATTTAGAAGACGAACTACTTCAGCAAATAAAAAAACGGATCCATTTATCTTCGGATGCTAAACAAATTGTTTTGAATGTTTACAATTTTATAAGAAATTCGGAATGGGAAGAGCTAATTAGGCGTATAATCTACGACGCTTAAGTGAATATCGTTTTAACCCTAGTAGAACTGCATAAAAAAGTACTGTCACAGTTAAACATTAGTGGTGCCAAAGAGTCGTTGCGTACTTTTTTGAAGAAAATGGATTTTCGGTACCAAACGTCAAGTGCTAATGGAATATCAAAGAATTTCGCAATGGAGGGTGGGGTTATTTAAATGCAATTGAAAAACTTCGAGAGCAAACTAGGCCAATAGTGTATTTAGATAAAACGTGGTTCGACACTCACGACACAGTAAAAAAATGATGGTTTGATAACAGTAACATGTGTGTATTAGACGTGCCGCCTTCACATGGAAAACGCATAATAATTCTTCATGCTCTAAAAATGGTTGGGTGGAAGATGTCTTATTTTTGTCTGCCAAAAACGTCATAATTCAAGTGTGGATTACCAAATTAGAAAAGTTTCAAATACTTCTTCAAATGAAGAAGAAATTGAAGAATTTCTGCATGAAAATAATATTTTAAAGGGAGCTACACGAAAAAACAACTTCTGGAATTATTAAAAAAAAATTTTTAATAAAGACTACAAAATCGCTTCTATATATAAAATCGATCTAATATAGTTAACCCGATTGAGATGATTTGGTCTAAGTTGAAAGCGCATATAAGAAGAAATACATTGCACCAAAAGTTAGTGATAGTCCCATAAACGTAATTCGGCAAGAGGTAGCTAAAATATCAGTACAAAACTGGTCTAACGAGTAATAAAAGAAGAAAATATTTATCGAGAACCATGAGATTGATCATTCTACTAGGTGACGACAATAGCGATAGTTACGATTTTTTTAGAGACTTTATTATTATTATATTTAATATTTTGTATATTAATAATGATATTATGTAGAAATGTAATGAAATAGAAGTTAATAAATTGTTACTTTGTACTATTTTTTTATGTACATGTTTCTAGAATTGCTCAGCGAAAAAGATTGAAAACATGCTTATATCCCGCTTGTTAGTGCAGGTAGATAAATTCCTAGGACGGTCCTGGAATGGTTACGGTAAGCGTCTGCTCTTCAGGGTGTTTTATAAAGGGGTGCGATATTGGAGTAATAAACAGTAGGCAAAGTTAGTCACAGGGTCAGTTATTCAAGCACTATATTTCTCGTCCAAGTATACCAGGATACTAAGGTCACAAAGGTAACGAATGCGCCGACGCAGTGACGTGCGAAAGCTCATGAAAGCTTATGCTTGCATTAGAACTCTTTTTTTGTTGAAAAATCAACCATCACAGGATGGATGGATAGAGAATCCTGGAAATGCCGGAGGGACATGCAAGTAATTTCTCGCAAGTTCATCGTCCAAATTTACAGAAGACGTGCTAAGCTATAAAAGAAAGGCTGTAAGAATCATGGTAGGTCTACTGAAGGGTCACAGCAGGCTAATGGGAGTTTAAAAAAATAGTAAATGCAGATTCTCAAGAGCCATATAGCCAATGTGATGGCATATCGAAAGTACGTGGCCATAACCAAACCAGAGGCAATGAACTACACCAAGGAGCCACCATCGAAACTATGGATTCTAATCAGACACCAGATAAAGCTCTACAGCTATAGAGAGAGTCACAATAGATCCTTCAAAATCTTGAATCTTACATCTAATTTGGGATTCTTCAATCTACTAAAGAATGTAATGGTTAGGGAATAATTTCATAAGATTAACTTTTCTGCTAATGCCTGCCTGCGGTCAAATAAATTACTGTTTCAGGCGTTAAACAGACGGGTGGTGATCAACGTCGGGGGAGTGAAACACGAAGTACTCTGGCGTACTCTGGATCGACTCCCTCACACCAGACTGGGGCGATTACGGGACTGCAACACCCACGAAGCACTGAGCGAGTTGTGCGATGACTACTCGCTCATAGATAACGAGTATTTCTTCGATAGGCATCCAAAATCCTTCTCGTCTATATTAAATTTCTATCGCACCGGTAAACTGCATCTTGTAGACGAAATGTGTGTTTTGGCTTTTAGCGACGACTTGGAGTATTGGGGGGTAAGATAAAATTAAATTTAAATTCTTCTTTTTATTACACCGTCCCTAGGTTGACGAACTCTATTTGGAATCGTGCTGTCAACATAAATACCATCAGCGTAAGGAGCACGTCCACGAAGAGATGAGGAAAGAGGCGGAGTCGTTGAGGCAGAGGGACGAGGAGGAGTTCGGCGAAGACCAGTGCTCGCAGTGGCAAAAGTGGCTTTGGGACATGCTAGAGAAGCCTACGACATCGATAGCGGCCAGAGTAAGTGGAAAGGCGAATTTTTGGGTATTTATAATTAAAATGTAATTGGTGCACGGTATTTTTAATGTTACAAGGGTTTTTCCTAAACACTTCTGAAAAATGATCTGAAATTTGATTATAAACTCAACACACTTGCCTCGGTTTGGTTTGGGTAAAAATCGGATTTATTTTTATTATCGGTGAAAAAAATTTTTTGACAATTCATAAAATTTTATCTGGTAATTTTTTTGATTTAGGAAGCGTGATTTCTGTTCCAGTTTTTTGTTTTTGGGGGCATTTTTTAACTTTTCATTTATACTGGTTGAAGAAATTAATGAAATGGCTACTGCCACGGCAGATGTGGGAAAAATTTGTGAATACTTTTAATAATAATACAATAAGAAAGTATACAACAAAATTTTGATTTCACAGGAATGTATAGAACACCCCTAAGTAAACAGTGTAAAAAGTAAAATATTTGTCAGCCTAATTTTTCGTTGTTCTCAATTTTTAAATATACAAATGTTTGAGAAAAGTCATTACTAGAAAAACTTTGTTAGGCAGCTAGGTAGGTACTGGAAGATTTTAAAAACAAACCAAAAAATAAATAATAATTAATAAATAAAATATATTTCGGTATATTTACGTCACCGAATTATTAAATTGTTATTAACATCAACTGACATTAACATTACTTTTAACTCATATGTATGAATTGATAATTATGTAATTTTAGTTCAAATCCTAGCTTTAACAAAAAAAATGAACAAAAAGGGTTCACTTAAAAAGATAACAACAAATGACACGACAACCTTCAATCGAGAAAGAGCAAATAATAGTGCCAGCAAACATTTGATTTGTGACTTTTTATCTATGTTAAAAGTTAATTTAGTTTTAGATAACCGGTGTACAAAGTGTAACAAAACTTAAATGTTGGAAGTCACCATGTCAAATCATGAAAAAAATCGGCACTGTTCTTGTACATTTCTGTAAATATGCAAAGCATTAATTCCGATTTTAAACTTATTTTTGGTGATTACAAATGAATTAATTTTGTGACTTAAAGAATAATTGGCTTATTCCATGTTAAATGTTCCTTTATTCGATGTTCGAAGACGCTTCATTTCACTGTCGATTGTCACACATTTTCAAACAATCCATAATTCGAACATCGAATACTGTACTGAATGATCTGCTAAAATAACTGTTCTAGATGTCATCTGCAATTGGGAAATGAAGATATGTGTGATTTTGTTCGAAAGCATCCAGCTTTTGTCGTTTTTGTTTTTAATGGTGGATGGGCATACGCGATGATCAACTTTACCCTAAACAAGCGAATCCAAAATGCGCCGTCTATTATAAAATAGTCTTTTTTGGCGACTATTTTCAGCGCCATCTAGAATAATTGAAGTTTATTAAGAAACGATCTCGTGCTGGTCAGCGAATGATATTAAAGTTACGCTAATTCGCTTCTTTATATTTTGAGTAACCATTGCCTAAATCGAACATAACGCAAACTTGAAGCCTGCGCAATGGATTTTCCATAGGTTCCAGTAGATTTTAGAACATTACTAACTGAAAATTAATTTAATTAAGCCCGCGAAGTAGTGTACATAGCATACTAGCATACTGAAAATAGTTTGCCAGGCTAGGCTAGTTATAATTGACAATCGGATTCGAGCTATCTGTACATTGCTTCCTATCTCAGGACCTCTTTTCACGTATTTGTTAACATTTGCCTGGCGTATACACCTAACACTTTTTGTTACTAATTTTGCACTTTTATTTCTGCTTACTTATTGGATGTAACCTTTTTCTCATCTTTCAGCGCTGTCGCTTTTACGAGCTATAACGCTGCTTTGCGCCAAAAATGTTTAATACTAATAAGTATCTAAATAGTCAAATACAAGTTGCTTTTATAATTATTATTAATTATTAATAGTAATTCTTTTAAAGTTGAATTAAACTGGACACAACTGAATAAGTTGCAATTCGTTTTTTTTTAATAATAATGCATTTTTTACCATTACAAAGAAAGAAAATGGATTGGATAAGTGTGACCTTGCTTGCTGTACATATTGCAGGTTGGCTGGATGTCGTTCAATGTCCATCGACATTAATCACACTTGGACGTAATAGGTGCCAAATTGATATTTGTCATTGGACACATATCAGGGTAGCTCATTACTGACGATCATTAGAAATTTGTGGAACCAGTGTAACATGTGTATATCTGTTGCAATAGTTGCATACAACATTTTTTTTAATATCGAATTAAATTTAAAAGCGTTAAAACAAAATAATGAAATTTTAAATTAACAACTGAAAATAACTGCTGAAATTTTCATTGTTACCGAAATAATGCTGCCGTTAGATTAAGACTACTCATAATTATTTTTATAAATTGGTATGTTTAGTCAACGTTGGAACTAGTTACTAGAATTATTATTTCAGAATGTAAATAATTTAGTAAACCCGGCTAAAAATTCATTTAAACTTTGGGAAGAATGTTAAAGTACAGTTTTTAAATTCGAATTGAAGTTGAACTATAAAATGTCTTGATGTTGATATCTGGTATGCCAAGTATTTGTTCTGATAATTAAATTTACACAGAAACGTTTAGTATTTGGTTAAATCCATTTCTACAAAATATCTACTATCTAAAAAACTAAAAATTTTAGAAAATATTAAAGTTAGCTATGGCGAGGTACTCTATATAATGGAAACTAATTTTAATTAATGCAACGTTTTCATATAGACAACTTTTGCATTTTATTCTTAGCTAAAACAACTGGTTACGGAGACTTAAAAGAGAAGAGAGAGAAAATAAAGCTATAAAATAGAATTCGCAGTAATGAGCCAACCTGTATAAAGTACCTGAAGAAAATGAAATAGAAGGAGCGAGAATAAATATCTTGGAAATCTTCTTATGGAGATGGTACAATGTTTTTTAATCCAAGTCCAAAATTTGATTTCAGTCAATATCTCAAATAAATAACCACTTTTTTAAAAATTGATTTAAGATCAAACGATCAAATCAGCCATTTAACGAGATAAATGCAACTATTTAAACCACAATATTGCCAATATTCTTAATAATACAAAATGAAATTTGTTTTTTGGTTTGAATTTTTAAAAAATAATGATATCTGTCGGTTGTCTTGCAAAACAATAGCGTACTGAAATTTTAATAACTAATTCTAGTTCATCTTTTTCTACTTCTTCGTAAAACTGTTTTCATGTATTTTGTATCAATCTTATATCTTTTCCCCGTAGCACCTTGCATTTTGCGCTATTTAGATGCCTTACAAGATTCCGTTTCGTGTTAATATTAATTAAATTACTTTCACACATTTTCATGTAGCTCATTCGACATTTTTTTTAAACGAGTTTAATTTAAAAACCGATTATAATGTTATAGATATCACGTCTCATTATTAGTTTAATAAAATTAGTTTTTGTGTTACTTACAAGTAGCTGATAGCGTAAAGCATCCTCATATTTCCCTCGCTGCTCAATTAAAACTCCACTTCCAAAAAAAGTTAAATTGAAATACCGTAAATAAGTGTGAATTTGGACAAAATCGCCTTTCATCCCTATGTAGCATTGTCGTATGTCTTCCAGGTGATAGCGATCGTCTCCATCTTATTCATAGTGCTCTCGACCATAGCTTTGACGTTGAATACGATCCCGAGTATGCAGGTGAACGATGAAAAGGGCAATTTCCAAGACAACCCGCAACTGGCGATGGTGGAGGCTGTCTGTATTACGTGGTTTTCCTTGGAATACATTCTGAGGTTCAGCGCGTCGCCGAACAAGTGGAAGTTCTTCAAGGGTGGTCTCAATATCATCGATTTGTTAGCCATATTGCCTTATTTCGTGTCGCTGTTCCTGTTAGAAACGAATAAGAATGCAACGGATCAGTTCCAGGACGTTCGTAGGGTGGTGCAAGTGTTCAGAATAATGCGGATACTTAGGATATTAAAGCTAGCCAGACACTCGACCGGGCTGCAATCGTTAGGATTCACTTTGAGGAATTCGTACAAGGAATTGGGTCTGTTGATGCTTTTTCTCGCCATGGGCGTGTTGATATTTTCTAGTCTGGCTTATTTCGCGGAGAAAGAAGAGCCAGGCACTAAGTTTATTAGTATACCAGAGACATTTTGGTGGGCCGGTATCACAATGACAACGGTGGGATACGGTGATATTTATCCAACTACACCCTTAGGGAAGGTTATAGGAAGTGTGTGCTGTATCTGCGGTGTGTTGGTGATCGCGTTGCCCATCCCCATTATAGTTAACAATTTTGCCGAGTTTTATAAGAATCAAATGCGGCGCGAAAAAGCCCTGAAGAGGAGGGAAGCGCTTGAGAGGGCCAAAAGGGAGGGAAGTATCGTCTCGTTTCATCATATCAATTTGAGAGACGCTTTCGCCAAGAGTATGGATCTGATTGATGTTATAGTCGATACAGGTGAGATATCGGTTTGCCTTGCCTAGCATATTAATTGTTATCTGCATTCTCTGTTTATTTTGTCGTGATAAATGCATGATAAGCATGTCGAACTTTGTGCTTCAACTTCAAATGACCTGACAACAACATTGTCAATGAAACAGTTGACTAATTATCCATTTTATAACTGAAATTTTAGGTGCAAATTCAAATTATATAAACAATTTGGAACTTTTGCCGAAATAAATCAGGATTAAATTGTGGAGCCTAAAACTTTTACCTTCCATTTTTGGCCATATTTTCAGACAAATTAATATTTAAACAATGAAAAGAAAAACACGATTAATTTATTAAGCCATCCTTTAATAATTATTTCAGCGTAATTCAGCAAGTTGTGGTCAACTAATAAATTTATATTATAACAAAACTTTGGCTACGAAGTTATACCAAAAAGTGTCCTGTGTAATATTAATAACATGCTTATTCACAAAAAGCGAGCCTGCGATAAGTAAGTGTACCTATTTTTATTATTTCCACTATTAATCAAAAAATGGATTTGAGAATTCGGAATGGCGGTGATTATTTAAAAAAAAAGTAAATAATACCAAATGCTCGCTTATAGGATTAGCTGCTTAGATATTAAGGTGGTTTAGTTGCATGTATTGATATCTTTCATTCTATAAACCTGAAATAATATTCGAATTTAAAAATTAATAATTTTAGAAAGATAACCACGCTCAAACTGGTGAAAGTGGGATTTCTCAAAATTTAACTCATTTAATTTTCTGCGCTGCAGTTACAAAATCTCGTAAACTCTGGTAGAACTGTTTCCTTGTCAAGGTCCAAAGTAACCGCTTGGATGTGTTTTCGAAAATTTATTGTTCACACTTAAATACTTGATTTTTGTTGCACTGCATCTCCTACACTGGCAAGTTTTTTTTTCAAATGTGCAGTGGTTTATTCGGGTTGAATTGAATTCAGTTTAATTGCGTGTACACCGTGTCCCAAATTACTTTTGAACGTCGCAAACAGAATTATGCCACTTTGTTTCGTTTCGGAGATAAAAAATGAAAGGAAAAGTTTTGCGTAGAATCCAGTGGTGTAGTCCATAAAATTTTTAGACAAACCGTTTTAGAGATATAGACTAAACATGGTATTCTTTAACTAGAACACATCCTGTAGTCTTTGACCTTTTTTCTCTCTTTAAGATGATGCAATTCTTCAGTTCTATCTCTGCTGGTTCCCGATAAATAATTGTGATTACAAGCAATTTGGAACACAGTGTACACCATCTTCATCAACGTCATAAGAAGTTATAGTTTCGTGGAATATTATTTACAACACGACTTTGGCGCTTTAGATCCCACAAATTAAAGTTAACGGTACCTTTTTTTCCATTAACAACAACACAAGGCTGTATCTACTTTCATCAATTTGCATCGGTGGTTCCTTGTGGGGTCGACTTCCAACCTCTGTGTCTTCTTCTTCCGCAGGTGACAAGTGCGCCCTTATAGGGGCAAACGAAAGCACTCGGAAACATTCGTGACCGTTCTCTAATCGACTGGCGAAGCATGCTTTATATTACGTCACTTTGCGCACGTTTATACCAACTAGTGTCTACGACATATGTGCCGCTTTGTAACATTGTGTTTACGTTTAGTTTTTACGTAGTGCATTCTAGAATTTTCGTTTCCTATATGTCGACGTAAGGAAAGTGGCTGCCTCTAGGCGTCGATATAGCTTTCTTTACGCGAACATAGATTCGTAGAAAATACACACGCCTATGACGTGTAAGAACATCTTCCACACAAAACTGCCACTATAAAAATCAGTGTTTTCCCGCCATGAAGATGTTCGCGATCTGTGTACGAAACGTTGCGTGTGTGTGCAGGCCATAATATGTCTCACGCTGACGGAAACAGCACCGAAGGGGAGTCCACAACTGGAGGCGGTGGTGGCAGAAATCCTGCCCAGACGGGTATGGGGTGTTACAGGAATTTCGATCATTTTCCGAACAGGCATCGAAGGAGCAACTCTTCCACGACACCGTGTCTTCCAACTAACGAGGTTCGTAACGGCATAAAGAGACCATAAATGTCGTCATAAATTACTCGAGGATTAAAGTTCGTAAATAAAATCGTAAAAAAAGTGAAGCAGTTTAAATGTAGGAAGGGATGCCTTTGTCATGACCGTCTATTTCAAAATATAAAAAGTATTACCTTTTTTATAGCAATTCCAACAACTTTGCCGAAATAAAAATTTTCATAGAAATATTTACTTAAATATTTGACGGGTAGTATTTAAAGATAAATGCAGCTTGGAATATCGAAGATCGAAGAATCTTTAAGAAGCATAGCAATTACACTAGTAAAACGTGAAAAAGCAATTCGAAGTCAAAAAATAAAAACTAACCAAAAATATGTTTACTAGGACTTAAAACATTAATATAAGAATATTTGAATTTATTGATTTGTTAGTTTTAAAAACTCAATTAAATTTAATTTGTGTCCTTTATTTTCAAAATTTACATTCTCTTAAATGAATTGCATAATTGGAATCAAGCTTTTACTAAAACATCTTCCTCTTTGGGTTGTAAACATTTGGGACAATCATTAGAAGTTTTATATTTTTTAACTTTTCATAACTTTTCATTTAATTTTCGTAATGAATTGTTAAAAACTACTTTTATATTATGTATACTTAAGAAGTTAGACGCTTAGAAGTTTCTTTGACTCGTGGAAAAAGCCTGTTTAATAAATTGTGGTATTGTTTTTTCTTCAGAATTTGATCTATGATGTTTGGCAGTAACCGTTACCGAAACTCTCTGCTTGCGATGTGAAAGTCGTAAAAAAAAATATCTTCAACAAAAATCATTTCAAAAATTTCGGTCTATACATTTTACCATTTTCAAACAGACAATGATAGAAGAAAATAAGTTTTCATGAGGTATCAGGCAGGAGGAATGCTTAATAGAGTCTTGGTAATCGTGTTTCTATTACTAAAAGTGTACTTCAAGAAAAAAATGAAACATAATATGAACGAAATTTATTCTGAAATAATCGTTTGCAATAAAATGTGTCGAAAAAAGCAAGGATCAAAATTGAAAACACAACTTCAGGTTTCAGAAAATGCTTTTCCTAAATTATTTAAGTTCGCATTTTTGCCCCCTACTGCTGTCACATCTGCTTTTATGGAGAGATAATGAATCTAAAATCGCGAAATGAAAGGAACAGGTCAAGTTTACAATGAATCAAGAACGACCTTTTAGTAAATATCAATTTAAATTTACATGGCTCCGAGGAATGTACATTTTCTTTACAGAAAAATTTTTATTTTTATTTTATTTGAATGATTTTATTTTGTTTTTTTTAGTATATTATTTTCAACTTTAATTCTAAAAAACATACAGTGGCCAATTATTGTTGTAAAATTGAGAGTTGAAAAGTGATTCTATTTCCATTTAAATTAAACAAATGATTATATTAGCATTTGTTAGATTATTAATATCGAAATAATACCGCATTTCATATTCAGCCCCTTAAAAATGTTAAGGATTTTTAATATCCGTAACAACGTAAATAACGTTAAACCTTACCCAATGGCCAGCTACTCTCGCCTTCATATGTTCAGTAACTTAATCAAAAATTATAACTGGCTGCTCCAAATATGTAAAGGCTCTGATCAACGTTTTGGTTGTCAGAGTCTATTTATAAATAACGACCTTGTAAGCTTGTAAGTTACAACAACATAAATTTAGTAAAATTCAACTATTTATTCTGTTTTTTCTGCTCGGTTCAAGGGTCCACCACCACCAGGCTCGCCCTCTTCCCAACGTCGACTTTTGGATTTAGGAGTAACCAGCGATGAAAACTACCAGCAGATGGCAGCGATGGCTCCGCTGGCCCAAGACGAGACCCAGCCGAAGGGATACATTTCCCCATCGGTAAGGGTCAAAATATTTGTCCTCAAATCATTGATGTGTCCATTAATCATTTACGATCGAGCGATTGAATGTGTTTTTTTGTATTGTGCGTGTTATAATGGTGTAGAAAAACGGAATAAGTGTTGCACTGTATCTACTCTCAATTGACTTGTATTTTTCTCTTCCGCGTAACTTCGAAAATATCTTTATTATTTCTGAAGCTACCAAGTTAATTGTACAATGTTGTTTTCGCAAGGCATCTCAACTGAGATAACTATTCTTATAGGGATAGAGCGATGCGATTTTCGCAATGATAGCTGGCTTTGTGTTTGAGATTCAGAACAGAAAATTTGTCATTTCAGTTACCCTTTATATTTTAAACCCCTGTATGGTAATGGTTTATTGAAAAAAAAAACGTACAATCCAGTGCTATACTTCGTTTGGTTTTTTTGTAGAAGGTATCTTTTTAAAGATACAAAGCCAAAGTTACGTTTTTAAAATAGAGACCCGGTATATATTTTTTAAAATTTATTGGGCTTCTTATAGGTTGCATTTTAAATAAACACTCGATATTTTAGAAAACATGCTAATTCTTTCCTAATTTTTTTCCACTTAACAATATTGTTATCATTATTATTATTAACAGAAAAAAATACAAACTAGAGAATATAAAATAAGTGAACATGTTCTATGATTGATGTATAAATTGCAAAAAAAAAATTATAGTGGGCTTGTATGAAATGGACATATGACAATAATGTATAAATTTTTTTTTAATATATTGTTCAAATTTGGAGAAGCAAATCAACAAGCAAAATTCTATTTTTATAAAAAAATATATATATGGTTTTTTCTTTAAAAATAGCTTGTACTTCAAAACGTACATTTTATAAAAAAACCTGAATACGCCCTTGAATTATGAATTCAAAACCCTGGACAATTATAGTAAACGCCCAAAGAAGAAATCGTAAATGTCTGATAGCTGGTAAAAATCAGTTTTTTAAGTTACTACTTTCTACGTTCTGTTCTATTTTTCGTAATAAAATAATACGTTAACTAACCATATATTTTAAAATGACAAAATATATGTATTTAGAAAATATATCTAGATAAATACACATTTTTGAAAAACTTATAAAAGGTGCAATAAAATAAATATATATATATATATATATATATATATATATATATATATATATATATATATATATACAGGTTGTTCCAGTTTAACACACTTAATTTTGCCGCGTATCCAAAAACTACGTAAACAGATTTATAAAATTCCGTAGTTATCATCTCAATATGATACGGGGATTTAAAAAACAAAGAGTAACTGAAATGGCCAAAATTCCTGTGTCGCTCTGTATCTCAAAGGCAAAACCAGCTAGGATTGTTTTAAAACGGCATCTTTTGTTTCACAAAAAACGAGGATAGTATTGCCTTGTTAACACTGCTCCAGAAGTCGACTAGAATTAATCACATAAACATTTCAATACTTTTGGTTTCCTCTAGATAATTGTAACAACACTTCGAATCTTAGTTCACGATTTATATATGCTTAGAATTGGTCAAAAACTAGATCTTGAGCGCTCTGAGAGGCCAATAAACAAATAAGCAGAAAACCATAAGCTCTTTCAAATAAGACCAAAGATGGGTCGAAAATCGGTTGAATAGTTCAAGAAGTATAAAAATACTGTAAAGTACTGAAAAGAGGGGGACTCATATCGGGACAGATGCGGATCGTATAAAGCAAAATGATCCGGTATTACTCAACCCATGCAGGTTGATCCAGAATTATTTGAAGAAAATATAAGGGCAAATGCATATATCAGAAATTTTAATGTAAAAAAGGTAAAAAATACTTCGTTTTCATGATACGCGGTGTTTAAACTATTCCGTTTTCTGTGGTTTATTTCAAAAGTATTGAAAACGGCTCACCAGTATCAAGATGAGTTACAGTTACATATGCAGCATTTTTTTCTAAAACATCAGGGACATATATGTATATATGTGTATATACATCTATATTCCAATTTTTTTCACATTTTAGACGTAGAATCAGCAATAAAATTTTCTTATCCAAAATTCTGAAACTCCCTTTAAAATAAGGGTTTCGAACAAATAGCGCCCCATGGAAAAGTTTCAAATTATTGTTAGTTATTTGCCTTAATCATTTTATTTAGAAAATCCAGCGCACCTTTATTTCTTTATCGGTCGATACACGCAAGTCTAAAAGCTTTGAGCGTAGTGCTCGGTTTTTAATTTTTCAATCGATTACGAGCGTTCGTTTTACTGCTCGTATTGTTAATATGAAAACGCGCTGTGCCTAAATAACGTGAGCTAATTAATTTCGAAAATGTTCATTTTTGCGCTTACCGCATATTTCACGCCACGGCTAACACTGAAAATGAAAATTTAATATGCCGGACTAATGGAATACGTATTGCATATTCGTCGCTGCGCTGACGCATAATGTTAAATATATAAATTAAGAATTTGATGATAGATCGTTAAATTGGAGCTTTTGATTCAATGTCCTATGGATGGTCACATTAAAATTTACGTTTGTGATAAAAAATCTATTTTTTGGGTTTTAAATGCGGAGTTTCGTATTAAAAGACTATACAAAAAACTAACCGTCGTCCCTCTAGGTTTTTTGCATTGTCAAATTTGGGTAAAAGTTTGCGAATTTTCCCCAAAGTGCAATTTGCATAGTCAACTCAAACTTATTTTCCCAAAGCGGTGCAAAAAATCAAAACAAAGGATTTTTACTTTAAAAGTTTGTTAATTTGTAACGCTTTCGTTAGATTCGCTTTATGAGTACGAAAAATCTCATTCAATTTTTTTAATACTTGCCGTAAATGTTTTAGTAGAACTTTTTTTTATATATCAACTATTACAATCGGATACATATTGTAATTTTTTGGATTGTGCGGAAAAAATTCACCCAAGTTTATTTAATTAAAGTGTAGCCACCGAAAAGTGGTACTTATTGAGATTGATTAGTTGTTATAATAACAAATGTTTTTGCAAGAAACCTTATTTAGTCTATAAAAAATACCTTAGAATAATCAAAAGTGCCACAAAAATTTTATTTTGCAATTTTGAAATTGACCATATCTCAGACTAAAATCCTTAATAATATAACCAATTGAACTATGAAATGAGGATCAAAACCTAAACGATCGAAATGCAGGCATGATTCATTGCCAAGTGTACACATTTTACCTCTATATACAGAGTACTTCCTTGGGGGGTTCCAAATTTTCAATGCCTACGTTTTAGATATAAGTAGCGGCAAGCTAGACCTCACCACTCCAATTACACTCTTTTTTTAATTGCAATATCATTTTTTCAATAAGAAAAATAAAGGCTTTAGTATGATACTTTTTATAAAACTTCTGGTTTCCTCCTGCGTCGGTTTTTGCTGAGTCGAAGTTGCTGACGTTCCGCCAATCATCCTTTTCGCTTCTTCAGAGTATGACTGAAACTGGCTCGTATTTTACTCTGAACCTGCTTTTATATTGTTTAAGTGGTTTGGTGATAGGTAAAGTCGCTGTTATGATTGTTAGGTTCCTTATAGATTTCTATAGACTCTCGGAATTTTCTTTGGTAGAAGAATTGATTACATGCAAGAATTGCAGTTGTGTCGTGATTGTACTAGGCAATTGCTGATAAGTTTATTTGTCTTAGTCTTAAGGCTCTTTCATGTTCTTTGAGCCTAGTTGTTTTTTTTTTTGCCGCATACGCATGGAACTCCTGGCATCTCAAATGAAATTTTGTCTTTGACCGATCGAAGAGATTTTTGTGTGGTAAATCTGGTTTTGACGTTATATTTCTTTTGATATGTGGTCAGTGATATTTTGAATGTAAGGAAGGACAACATTGGCAAATGTGAGTTTGCTTTCGGCTTTATTGCTATTGGAAGATTGTAGTGACGTGTATTTTGTGATGGAACGCTTAAAATCTTTAATGTAGAAATTATTAGAGAGAAGAGCAGAAGTAAGGTGTTTTAATTCTGGGTTCAATGACTTAGTCTGAGATAGTTTTACGGCTCTGTATACAAGAAAGTTAATAACCGATGATTTTTGGACCGAATGCTGATGTGACAATGCTTCAAGGTATCGATCTGCATAGGTTTTCTGTAAATACAACGACCCAATGTTAGGTCTGATTATATGTTAATAAGAATATCTAAGAATGGGAGGTTGTTATTAGTTTCTATTTCAATGGTAAAATGTATGTTAGGGTGTATAGAGTTTAAATGTCTAAGAAAATCTACTAGGGTTTCTTGACCATGCGGCCAAATAATAAAAGTCTCATGGACGTAGCGTTTCCATAATTTTGGTTTTATAAGGTTGTTCGGAAAGTCATTTCGTTTTTTCCCGTCAGAGGACTTAATTACGTTTTTTCGAAACCAACTTCACACTTAAGCCGCATAACCATTATATGTCTTGAGAGCTGATATTGCAAGGCTTGTGTGTGAAAAAGTTCTATTAATTCTACGCAGTAGTTTTTGGTTGGTGCCCTTTTAAATATGGAGAGCAATAAGCAGCATTTTCGTCATATTTTACTTTTTTACTTCAGAAAAGGTAAAAATGCTGTCCAAGCGAGAAAAAAATTGACGGATGTGTATGGAGAAGGCGTGTTAACAGTACGCCAGTGCCAGAACTGGTTTGCAAAATTTCGATCCGGCAATTTTGATGCCGAAGATGCACCACGGTCTGGAAGGCCGGTCGAAGCTGACAAAGATGCGATAAAGGCATTAGTTGATGCAAATCGGCGAATAACCACACGAGAGATCGGTGAGAGATTAAATTTGTCGAATTCGACTGTTTATGGCCATTTGAAAGGCATGGGCTTAACCTCGAAGCTCGATGTGTGGGTGCCCCATGTCCTTACGGAGCGAAATTTGTGTCGTGGCGTTGACGTGTGTGATTCGCTCCTCAAACGTCAAGAAAATGATCCATTTTTGAAGCGGATTATTACTGGGGACGAAAAATGGGTTGCATACAACAATG